ATATACATTTTTTTTTTTGGTCAATGCATGTCCGTCTTCTCCAACGTGTTTCAGTCCAATTGCATCAATTCGTTATCAAATTTCTTAAATATTAGTTACAATCTTTTCAACCATTATCTATTATAGTTGTCCGTAATATTTGCTAAATTAACCAAAAAATTCTTGATTATTTAAATCTTAAAACTTAGAAGAATATCATATTTTTTATTCTTTATTTGCAATATTCTATTTTAATTAACCAATCATTATTATACCCATTATTTACGTCTTGTTATTTTCTTTTATTTACCATCATGATTATATCCGCTATCCATAGTTTAGTTATTTCTACCATTATTTGATTTATAAGAATGCAATCGATCAAACCCCCACATACACCACCACCTCGAACTCGACCAACACCACTGATTGTGGTCCAATCTGCACGACCACCCCTCAACCTTCACACCAAGGGATCGGGATACAGGGAGCAAGACCACCGCTCCTCAACCCCGGCCGCCCCGAACCCCCAACCACACGCCACCACCTAGCACTACGACACTATTAAGGGGGTCAACAACCGCGACTGCCACCGACAACCTAACAACAACGAAAATCGACCGTCGAGCGACCATCCTCCTCCAACAGCGCAAGCAACCTGAGAGTAGCACAAAATTGAGGTGAGGCTGCGCGGCTAAGGGCCATCGCCGGCAAAAGGGCCGATAATCCGCCAGGAAAGCACGCAAGGAGTGAAAAACAACTACTGTTGCGAAGAGGGGAAAAGGGAAAAAAGGGATTAGAGTTTTTGTATGGGTCAAATCAAAATTTTTAGCAAGTCTTGAATATACTTATTTATGTATTTTAAAAATTAAAATATCGACGTTACATCACTTCGATTTTGATTAATTTATTTTAATACAAACTCAAAACTTCACTTAAACCTAACACAATTAACTTTTATAAAATTAATTATGATTAATTAAAAAAACTAATCAAAAGAAATAAAATTCTCACATAATCATGTAATTATTCTCATTTTCCATTTTTTTTTTATTCTCTTTTGAATAAGACAATCGGACGTGACAACACGCACCCGCCGCAACGAGGCAGATGAAATCGACGGTCGAGATGACGATTCAAATATTGAGCTTATCCAAATTCGACGATCCAGGTCATACCATGTACGAATATCTATCCTCTCAGTTTTCTTTTTCTTCACCAAAAGTTGACATTTTCCTCTCTATTATTTTCCAGGTCGATCCCTCCACCCACCGACCGACGGCCGACGGAGATCGCTTCATATCCATTTCCTTCGCACTTTCTCTCTCTAGACGTACGCACGCACGCACGCACAGATTCGTGCATTCAATCGGTTGTTCGTTCAAGTGGAGGTATGGGGAATGCCAATGGCAAAGAAGAAGGCGTTGAGAATGGCGGTGGCGGGGATGAGGTGTCGGGGCTTTCGAACCACGCGCAGACTGCGCGCGTGGCTTCTTCTGATTTGATGGTTAGCTCTCCCCCGCACGACCTCCGGCAGCCTCGCCCGCCTGTCTTGTTTTCCTCTCAGGTGAGGTTTCTCTTTCTTTTATAGGTGTGGGTGTGCACTGTATGTATGTATGTATACTCTCTTCTGTCTGAAGATTTTATAATTTTTGTGTTTTTCCTGTGTATGTGAACTAGAAAGGTATCATCTGTGAAGTGTTGTTTACTACGACTATATGTTTTTAGTTCTTGTGCTGGGACTCTGGTGTATATATGAACTGTCGCGCGCGGATGGTATTGGTCTGCGTTGAGAAATTGTATTTGATCTGCTGGATCGGTTTTTCGGTAGGGGAAGGTTGGGTATTTGCAATGCAGGATGTTACTCTGCTCGCGTGAAGTTAAAATGCCTGAAGTTTCCTTTGGCCAAATGATATGTTGATCTGGGATTATGTATTTTATTAACAGCATCTTTGAAGGTTGGATAAAATGGAATTAGTGCTGGTCTATCACATTGTATGATATTGCCATTACACCTTTGATAGTGAAATTTTGTTGTAGTTGATGCTTAAATTGGTCGGTTGTAGTGAAAAGTTGTATCTGATGCTACATAGGCATATATTGTACCATTTATGAAGCAGACATCGTATCATGTATTACTGACCATGATCCTAGGTGAATATTTCTCATATATGTTTTCTTATGGATTATATAGGATATAACACAACAGGTTCTTGAATAGGAAAGTATGGAGTCTAGGATTCTGATTGAGTAGTCGAGCGATTCAGCTAATCGAATGTTCATGCATGCTCATAAACTCCACATGATTTCCTTTTTAGGTGGGAGAGAACACGTATGTGCCTCCTTCAAGGTGTACACTGAGCACATAAGTTATATTTTTCTGTTTCTGTCCAAGTTATCATGTTGCTGTTCTTTCTTTTCAGGTGAACTTCTACGTTGGCAGATTTCATGTGTAAACAAATAGTTTGTGATTGGGAAGGATCTAATTCTTTATATTTATGTAAATGGTTCTCTCATGCCCTTTCTAGCCGAAAGAACATACCTCCGGACAATGACGACATAATATTGAACAACTTAGTTTGATGTTTTGACATCAGTGTCCTCTTAAGGGTATTGCATAAAGGCATTAACAGAAATTTAACTATGGTACCATAGAATCTTCATGGTAACATTGAAAATGGGATAATGTTTACATAAATGTTATGTGAATATAATTGCTTTGGCATGGTCAGAAGAAACCTTTTTGTTATTCCTTAGGTTAGTTACTCATTTGCAGTTTTGTTTTGTCATCATTCCCTGTTATAATGGCATCATTCCCTTCTCTTGTTTGCTAATTTCCGGAAAAGCTGTGGAATCATAAATGAGGTTATCATGTCATTGGCGAACGAAGCTACTACAATGCTGGAGTACAAAAATCTTATAGAAGATTATTGGAAAACGATTACACTGACATGCCTGCTAGTAAATACTTACCTACTCCTCCAAATCACTTCTAAAGTAACTTGTGTTTCAAATACACATGTTATACCCTGTAGGGTAAGGTCCTGTCCGGATTAATTAACTTAATCTCCAGTTCTTTCTTTTCGTCTCTTACCATTCAATGCCCCCAGACTCCACCCTCCTCTCCAACCCCTAGCTCCAATATAAAAAAAAAACATATATACATTGACCGTTTCCCACATCACCTCATTGTAGCCAAGCAATATTTAGTAACTTACCTGATGTATGATCCAACGATTTCTGGTAATCAAACACCCATAATATTATTTAGTCGTCTTCACCTTTGGGTGCTTTGGGTATGTGTTTGCATTTCTGGAAATGTTAATTTTGAGCGGAACCTCCCCCTCCACACAATCTCTAGTAAAATGAAATATTTTCCAGTTAAACACCTGATTAAATATGGGTCATTGTAATACGACACAGTTACCAATCCACCATAAAGAGTAAGTTGTGTTATTGGCTATCCGGATAATATTAATGGACCTTCATTTTAGTAGTGAATCCACCAAGAGCTTTGGTAGTGATGTATTTCTTGCCTAATAGTTATTTTTCATTCTCTGGTTTTGATCATTGCTGCCGTGTTCTCATATCAGTGAAATTTGCAAGTGTCTTTTTCAGCTCGTGCTGTAATATGCTGATCATTTTTAAGTTCATTTGGAGGGATATTTTCCCTTCTTAACAACGTGTACTCATTTGTTAATTTTTATTGGGATGGGAACCCCTATATATCTGCACCTTGCCAGACCCCTGTACTTCCATCACAAAGAAACGGTGGCACTTCATCTAATCATTTGCTGCGGAATGAATCTAGACGTGCTCTTGATTACCCCCTGGAAAAAGGCATTCCAACTATAATAACCTGGAGCTTTGGTGGCAACAATGTGGCTGTGGAGGGATCTTGGGACAACTGGAAGACAAGGTGATGCTCATTATTATCTGCTTTTTTCTTATTCTACTTTATTTGAATCAATTAAATAACATGTCAGTTAGAAACAAGTTTGTAACAAAGCTGGTCTCCTTACATAAGATATGTTCTGTATTTTCCAGGAAACTACTTCAAAGGTCAGGCAAGGATCATTCGATTCTTTTGGTCCTTCCATCAGGCATATTCAGATACAGATTCATTGTGGACGGCGAAGTTAAATACATCCCTGATCTTCCGAGTGAAACAGATGATATAGGCAGTGTCTGTAATGTTCTCGATGTCCATGTAAGTGGATACTACACCTATTGCATGTATTTCCTTCTACCAGATATACTATTTCCGGAGTAACACAAAGATTGGTTTGTAGGTTTGGTATGCAGTTACTTTTTCATTTTCAGCACTCTCTGTTGTTGGTTCGTGGATATTATTATTGTTACTATAAAGTTAATTTTGTATTCATGGAAATATCATCTTTGGATTGTATATTAGGTAATACTAACATAATCTGCACATGCACATTCAACCAATAAGCCTGATTACATTTCGACAAGATATTGAAGGTAATCAGGTAAACAAATATAAATACGAGGATCCATATTTATTCGGCTGTTTCTTATTACACTAATGTTTGAGTAGGTGATCTTCGAGAAGTTTATGACCTGGCCCCTATTCACACAACACTCCAAACTCGAATCAGCTAGTTTATTATCGATTATGTCATTAACTTTTGGTTTTCATATATTTATACTTGACTCCTCGTAAAGAACTGTTTCTCGAGGGGTAGTGATTTTTTATTAACTAGTTGTGTTTTTTAATTAACTGTAGGACTACGTTCCTGAAAACCTGGATAGCGTGGCAGAATTCGAGCCTCCCTCATCACCCGAGTCCAGCTACAGTCAAATTTTTCCGGGAGAAGAAGATTTTGCCAAGGACCCTATGCTGGTCCCTCCTCAACTTCACTCCTCAGGCCTTGGCTCCGATAACCACAAAGAAGCAGCTGGTTCAAAACCGCAGCATGTGGTGCTGAACCACCTATTCATGGAGAAAGGACAGCAGTCTCAATCTGTTGTTGCCCTCGGCCTGACTCATAGGTTCCAATCCAAGTATGTGACTGTTGTCCTATATAAGCCGCTCAAGAGGTGATTCTAACTTTTTTGCATGACACGACTTTTTCCGTGGCTTGCTATGAACGATTGCAAGCCCGTCTTGTTGATGGCGTTGATGTAACTTCTTGGAAATGTCTTTTTCCTGCTGATGATGTGTTTGCTCTTGTACATTATTATCTTAATCTTGTAGAACGTTTTTTAGGTGTAAATTCATTTAGAGATGTGCTTTCTTTCTATCTATCTATATCTATTTATATCTATATCTATATCTATATCTATATCTATCTACTACTTTAAAAGGAGGAGTGTTTTTGTAAAAATTCATAATGCCTAAAAAATCCTTACTTTGACATAAATTTAATGGCAAATTAGTAATACACTAAAACACATCATATTTTATTTATATTTTTAATTAAAAAATGAACTATCTAAAAAACTCTTACTTTGACATGTTTTATTGGCAAACTAGTACAACACCCGTGTATTACACGGGTGCTTGCTAATTTTTTTCTTAAAATTTAAAATTAATGAGAAAAAGTAGTTTGAAAATTTAAATACCTTTTATAAGAATATATATATTATATATTTATTATGATACTTTTTATTTGTGCGACTTACTTGTGTTATATTATACTAATTCTTTAACTTACACTATATAACTACATTAAATATAAATATAACAATTGAGAAATAATTTTATTTTTCTAATGAATTTTAATAAATATTAATATTTTTTATTATTATAAAGATAAATATAATTTATTTATTTTATATATACAATATGGATGTCAAATCGAAGATCATCAAAAGATGATTAATTTGATATATTATATATGTAAAACCGATAAGAAATAAAAAAGTTATATACTTTTAAAATACATTTATAATTCAATAGTTTATTGAAGGAAGCAAATCAAAATTTAGGGATATATTAGTCACTTAGTATCTCACTATGTAAAATTACAAATAATTAAAGGGTTATATTAGTAAAAGTGATATTAAAATACCTAAGTTAGCTAAATAATATTTATGGAATACCCGAACCTAGATTATTAATTATTAATATATTAATATTATTTGTCCAAACCTAATTACGAAGCATGATTTTTCGCCAAATAGGATTCCGAAGCACCAGAAGCAGCCACGTAGGCTCGACGCATTCTGCAATTATATATAGGGAGGATAGGTAATATACTAATGTCATCATATCTTATATTATTAATTAATAACTAATATCCCCTTTATATATAATTCCCGAATGCGCTGAGCCTACGTGGATGCTTCTGGTGTTTCGGAATCCTACTTGGCGAAGAATCATGCTTCGTAATTAGGTTTGGACAAATAATATTGATATATTAATAATTAATAATCTAGGTTCGGACATTCCATAAATATTATTTAGCTAACTTAGGTATTTTAATTTTAATATCACTTGTACTAATATAACCCTTTAATTCTTTGTAATTTTACATAGTGAGACACTAAGTGACTAATATATCCATGATTTTTGATTTGTTTCCTTCAATTAACTATTAAATTATAAATGTATTTTAAAAGTTAATAAGTTTTGTATTTTTTATCGGATTTGCATATATAATATACCCAATTAATTATCTTTTCATGATCTTCGATTTGACATCCATATTGTATACATAAAATAAATAAATTATATTTATTAAAATTTATTAGAAAAATAAAATTATTTCCCAGTTGATATATTTATGTTTAATGTAGTTATATGTTGTAAGTTAAAAAAATTATCATAATATAACACAAGTAAGTCACACAAATAAAAAGTGTCATACTAGATATATAATAATATCTATATTTTAATAAAAGGTATTTAAATTTTCAACTACTTTTTCTCATTAATTTTAGATTTTAAGAAAAAAATTAGCAAGCACCCGTGTAGTACACGGGTGTTGTACTAGTCAATTAATTAAATTCAAATACATGAACAATACATTCCACTCCTAAAATAAAATTGTTTTCTTCCACACATCTTTAAAACTGTTTGATAGGATATAGAATTGTTATTTTGAAAAACGTCATTATTTTTAATATAATTTTAATGGCAAAATTGGAATCACATTTCATATCTCCAATATATTTTTTTAAAAAAAAATTTAAAACTGATCCAACAAAAAAAACATAATAAACGATTATAAAACTAGAAATCGATATTGTTTTTCTCATTACAACCTCAAGATATAGAAACATTATTTTCAAAATAACCTATAAAAAGTGTGTGATAGTATGTGAGATTAATTGTTGAAAGATTATTCTGCAACATAAACTTCTAATTTATTCAACTTCTTTACTACATAAGATCAGAACAATTTTATGAAATTGTATAATATTAAAACTGAATAGATTTGTTTTCACGTCTAATGAGATACCACTTTAGCATTATGAATTTATTTTGACCATATAATTATCTACAAACTAATTAAAAATATCTCGAGAATCATGATATGCCTACATGTTGAAAATTATTTACTTTTTTATCAAAAAATTATATTCATATATTATCATTAGTCATTTATTTATTTATATGTGTTATTACAATAAAATGGTTTCCTAAAAAAAATGTACGAAATAAAAAAATTATATATTTGAGTATAAATGAGAAGATTAATAACTATGAAAAAAAAAAGTAATTAATAAAAATATTATAATTAGTCAAAGTAGTTATAGAACTTTTAAAATTTATTTAATTTTTTGAGCTTATTAGTTTTGTATAAAAATTAGACAACAGTTATTTATACTTTTATCCATGAAGGTTAGAATTTGTTTTTCTTAGAAAATTAATTACTTTGATTTTAAGCAATTTCTAAAAAAATTATATGGATTACCAGGTTCACTTGTTTAATATATTATTAATATAAAAATTATAAATACAATTAATTAATAACAAAAACTCCTAATAAAAATTATAATATATAAAGGAATAAAAAAATGGTACATTGCAATGAAAAATCCAACGGTAAGACATTTACTTTTTTTTCCAAAGACATCACGGTAAGACATTAACTGGAATTTCTAAATGATATTTTATTTGTATAGTTGTCATTGTAAAATTTCATTGACTATTTCAACAGAAAAAAATTACGTTATTTATTCTTGTGTAAATTTAATTTTTCAACAGTTGAAAAAAATGTCACTGAAATTTCAAAAATTTAAAAACGTCATTATTTTTAATATAATTCTAATGGCAAAATTGTAATCACATTTCATATTCCAATATATAAAAGTTTTTAAAAAAATTAAAACTGATCCAACAAAAAAAAACATAATAAACACTTATAAAACTAGAAATCGATATTGTTTTTCTCATTACAACCCCAAGATATAGAAACATTATTTTCAAAATAACCTATAAAAAGTGTGTGATAGTATGTGAGATTAATTGTTGAATGATTATCTGCAACATAAACTTCTAATCTATTCAACTTCTTTACTACATAAGATCAGAACAATTTTATGAAACTGTATAATATTAAAACTGAATAGATTTGTTTTCACGTCTAATGAGATACCACTTTAGACATATGAATTTATTTGACCATATAATTATCTACAAACTAATTAAAAATATCTCGAGAATCATGATATGCCTACATGTTGAAAATTAATTACTTTTTTTATCAAAAAATTATATTCATATATTATCATTAGTCATTTATTTATTTATATGTGTTATTACAATAAAATGGTTTCCTAAAAAAATGTACGAAATAAAAAAATTTATATATTTGAGTATAAATGAGAAGATTAATAACTATGAAAAAAAAGTAATTAATAAAAATATTATAATTAGTCAAAGTAGTTATAGAACTTTTAAAATTTGTTTAATTTTTTGAGCTTATTAGTTCTGTATATAAATTTTAGATGATAGACAACAGTTATTTATACTTTTATCCATGAAGGTTAGAATTTGTTTTTCTTACAAAATTAATTACTTTAATTTTAAGCAATTTCTAAAAAAATTATATGGATTACCAGGTTCACTTGTTTAATATATTATTAATATAAAAATTATAAATACAATTAATTAATAACAAAAATTGCTAATAAAAATTATAATATATAAAGGAAAATGGTACATTGCAATGAAAAATTCAACGGTAAGACATTAACTTTTTTTTTTCCAAAGACATCACGGTAAGACATTAACTGGAATTTCTAAATGATATTTTATTTGTATAGTTGTCATTGTAAAATTTCATTGACTATTTCAACAGAGATCAAATTACGTTATTTATTCTTGTGTAAATTTAATTTTTCAACAGTTGGAAAAAATGTCACTGAAATTACAAAAAATTCAATGGAAGTTCTATTCGAAATCTACCTGCAGTGGTGGATACAAAATAATTTCATACTTGAGGCATTATTTAGTTAATAAAGAAAGTATACCATTGAAATATCATAAAGTCAATATAATTTATAAATTATATTTTTCATAATTTGTCATCTTTCTCATCTGCAATGCATGTTTAACACATCAATACAGTTACAATTAAAAAAAATAACTTTTCTCAATTCAACATAAGCAAATCAATAAAAATAATATATTTTTAAAACTTTTATGAACAAAAGTTGACTCGACAATATTATTAATAAAATTATGAATTGTATATATTTATTTAAAATATTAATTAAAAATTGTAATTAAATATAAAATAAAATAGGATATACAAATATTTGATATATAATGAGACAGATGATCGAAAAATTTTATACTTTATATTATGTCTTTTTTGACAAATATACAGTTAAGAACATGTGAAAGAAAAAGATAAAGTTTTAAAAAAATATTAAATATAAGAAATCATATGAATAATAACTAAGTTATGACACATACTAATAAATATAAAACAAACTAATAAAAAAAATAATATAATTAATAAACCTAAATATAAACCTTCTAAAAATATACTTATCGATATAATCGAACTGAGTTATTAATTAGTAAAAAAAAGTATTAATAAAAATATTATAAATAGTAAAAGTAGTTATAGAACTTTTAAAATTTGT